CTACTGGAAAAGTTTGACCAAAATGTTATTTCACACGTGATTAGGACACGTAGGACAATGTAGGTTAAAGCTTGAATCAAAAGACAGGACCACAAGGTATGAACGGTTCGGAGAAGGGCCTTCCTCAGCAAAAAGCACAAATGAAAATAAGACAAGAAATGCAGAATAGAATGCTAATTTTACCATCGCACTAAATCTAAAGCGGTAAGATGGGAATCATGAAATCCGGCGATGTGGTAGATCCGTTGCGTAAACTTGTTACAAGAAAACAATAATTAATGTAGGGTAAGTTTTGTTTGATGAAGTGGTATTAAGCGTATTGTTCATCTGTTAAATTAACATCACAAGTAACATAGTAACCAGACTATATTTCATTAACCTTGTGAATTTTTGAGGTAGAATAATATTTATATATAGTTTTTTTTATAAATATTTATTTTAACGCCATAAATATATTGCAAAAAGAATAAAAGCTCAGGAAAATATTTACGGATATTTTAAAAAAAAAAAATATATGTTTTACGTTTCAGATTTCTTAAAATAAGGAAATGACTGATAAAATCAATCCTAGCTCACTGAAAGACTCTTATGAATATAATTATAGCATTGTAAAAAAAAAAAACAAAAAAAAACAAAAAAAACAGAATTACAAGAACATATAGATCCTACTGTCCTGAAATAAAACTAGAGAATATCAATTGCGGCCTTGAATTTATCAATCCAAAACGGAAACTATGTGACTTAAGTACTTTAGAGCGTCGCAATTATGTTTATTATCTTATTTGCCAAATAATCTTCTTTTTTCCACATTTTCTTTTCTGGCCAAGACTTGACAATAATTGATGGGTCATCAAAGCATCTTAGCTTTGACGTACTTACAGCTAACACTAATTTTGAATTTCTTTTAAAGTACCAGTTACACAGTTGATGACAAAATTATACATTAAATCCTCAGTTTGAGAGACAATTTTCAGAATGGATTGTCATAATTGACTTTTGGATTTAACCCCACTCCCCACCCCAATTAGTTTCTTTCGACGTCTTGAATATTTCATGAGAAATGTTTATCCTGATTATATCGATAGTACCTCGACTAAATAGTGTAATTTCCACATAATCAGCAGCGTTGTTTAAGCTTAATATGTACATTTCAGTACGCCGTACTCTTCCTTGCCCCTATGTAACAAACATATAAGAACGTGCACTCTGCTGCCACTAATCACAAGAATCTGCTAATTATCTTGACAAGGGCTTTGCAATAGTTTCCACCAAACGACACATACAATAATTAATATGAAGCCTATCAAAAAAAGTATATGGACCTATTGAAGTTTTCAGTGCAGATCAAAAGAGGTGTCTATAAATGTTTATGGTTTTCCTTTAAAATTATTATATGGCATTAAATTTATTATTCAGCTCATCTCAAACGGATTCCCTCTTTATTTGTTAGTAAAATACCTCTAAGCCCTTTTATAAAAAAAAATATTACTTATATCAATGATGAATGTCAACCAAATATAACACACAGACACTCTAACAAAAAGAAACAAATGTACATATCAACTTTTCTCTACAGGACGGAGCCACCTGGTCCAGGGTTTCTGTTTGGCTTCTGGAAAGAGAGTAAGTGACCAGGCAGTTTCGAGATTACGGTGTCAAGTAAACAATAAGTCAATGTGTTCCTCTGTTTTAAACACAGCTTGTCGTGATGATGGCCTGCCAAACCATGTGCAAAACATATTCATTAAAATTCACCTAGTGGTTAATATAGGTTACAAATCTTAGGGTCGGTCATGTGACGTCAAATGGAATTGACAGTCCATGTTTCTTTCATATGCCTGTAACTTCAGCGGGAGACTGACACTCTGAAGCCAACAGTCCATTTTCTATCATATGCATGTAACTTCAGCGGGAGACTGACACTCTGAAGCCAACAGTCCATGTTTCTATCATATGCATGTAACTTCAGCGGGAGACTGACATTCTGAAGCCAACAGTCCATGTTTCTATCATATGCATGTAACTTCAGCGGGAGACTGACATTCTGAAGCCAACAGTCCATGTTTCTATCATATGCATGTAACTTCAGCGGCAGACTGATATTCTGAAGCCAACAGTCCATGTTTCTATCATATGCATGTAACTTCAGCGGCAGACTGATATTCTGAAGCCAACAGTCCATGTTTCTATCATATGCATGTAACTTCAGCGCGAGACTGACATTCTGAAGCCATGATCTTTGAGTAAAGCGTGTTGCTACAGCGATAGATTCAAGTGCTGTTTCTTATCAAACAATTGTCACATAAAATACAGAGTGAGGCTTGAAAAGGCGAATGCTATCGGTCCTGCAACCACCGCACCCCCACGCCCACCCCAGCCCGCCCCTCACCCCTGGGTCCAGAAAACCCAAACCTGTCAAATTTATTTAAAGAATAATTTCAAATTATTCTTTTTTGTAGTTTTCTGAAAGTTATGGAATATAAAATAACGATTTAAGGAAGAAAACGATTTACTGGTGAATTCGTCTGGTAGAAGTAACGTCTTTCTTTCAGATCAATGTAGAAACATTACAAACTAATTTAGTTTTTAAAAACTTACGGGAAAGGTTTAAGGTTAACCCGTTGTTACTGTGACGTCATGTTTACCTTTTGCTGTCTCGCCCACCAAAGGATTCCCAAACGACGACATCAAAGAACAACCCAACCGCCAGACTGTCCCCACCCCGGGAGACATGGAGAACCACTACCCCCACACTATCGACGGTGCAGAGGGAATCACTGATCCTCTGGCAGAGTACGGACCGACCGTCGCAGACAAACCGAAGAAGACCTGCGCTGTCATGTAGTCCACAGAGAAATGGGAGTAGTGAGGAAGGTAGACTTGTCCCATTGTGTGATCTCAGTGACTCAATGTCCAAATATTTAATCCTAATTTACTGTTTGTCATCTGTACTTCTGAGTTTTTTTGAGTTTAAAAAAAGTAAAGTTTCTAGTTCCTAATTTAATTTGATTATCTGAATGTAAATCTAAATCAATCGTGTATTTATTGAAATTTTAATGATTTGGATCCTACTGACAGCATATTTTATTTGTTAACTACGAATATCCTTTTGGTTCCAGACTCCATAGAAAGCTTGATTATCTTATTTGTGTTTCATTTATTGTCTTTCTTTGTGTGTGTGCTCTTATCCATATCTGAGCTTGAAAAATGTTTTGGTCAAAGATTATTATACAGCTGGGGGGGGGGGGGTAAAAAGACGCCATTATATTCAAAGTAAAAGGACCCCAAAATAACCTTTGTGTTTCATTTATTGTCTTTCTTTGTGTGTGTGCTCTTATCCATATCTGAGCTTGAAAAATGTTTTGGTCAAAGATTATTATACAGCTGGGGGGGGGGGTATAAAGACGCCATTATATTCCAAGTAAAAGGACACCAAAATAACCGCGCTACATATCGTACGTAACAATTCAAAGAATGTTCACTCCTGCTATGGATCTGGCCGCCCCTTAAGCACGATCTCAAACGAACCAAACATCTCACAGCTGCCAGTAATACCGCTTAAAAATAAAATACTTTAGCTTGAAGAACCATTTCAAGGCATATGCATTTGTAAAACTAAAAAATGTTGGCTGATACATCCCAAATTCTTCATCAAAAATAGAAAAAAACCCAACCTCTTCATCACAGATACTTATGATGACATCCAACCTCTTTATCACAAATACATAAGATCAGCTCGATCACGGCAAAGTCTTTCCTTCAAAGTTAGGACCGAAAGAGTTAAAAATGCATTTGTTCCAAAATCTACGAGACATTACCAGCGTACTCCCCGCGTGTAAAAAAAAAAAAAAAAGAAATGAATATCACCTCTGAAAGTTAACATTTTTGAAATTTTCACGGAGCTATGTGAAATGTCATATAATGGTTGTGCTTAGCGCTTGAGATATACACGTAGATCTCATGTGTTACATTTGGTCTAGTTTTAAAGTTTTTTGTCTTTGTAAAAATATTTATATTTTATGTCTGTGTTCAAGTAAATATGTACTTGCTAATTTAAAAAAACAAACATTTCCATCTATTTGGATCAATAAAAGAATCTTATCTTATGTTCATTATTGTGTCTGGTTCACGGTTGGTGGTTTGAACTCAAACAAAACCTTTATAAATGTATTTCAATTAACATTAAAATTTGTGTTATTAATTTTAAAACGGCTTTTTTTTTTCTTACCAAATTCGTTCCCGTTTGTTCTACTACCTACCCATACACAATCTTCCCTTCTCTCGTTCTCTCCTGCCTAACAACACATGATTTTCACTTTCTTATTTGCCTATCCTCCTCCAGGATTTTTCCCTGTTACTTATTCATGCTCCATTCCTCCTTAACAATGTCTCAGCGCCATCTCCATCACTCCCTAACACCGACTCCATCACTCCCTAACACTGTCTTCATCACTCCCTGATACTGTCTCTACCACTCCCTAACACTATCTCCATCACTCCCTAACTCTTTTTTTGGAACAGAATATAGTTTTCCTTAAGGCACATCATCAAAATATCTAAAAGTTGCTCTATTAACTGAAGGCATTCCAAACATTTAAACCAAGTATGTGACTATAACAACATCGACTACTGTTGGACTTGATTCTTTGTGTTTACATTTGTGCTTGACCTGGTACTTTGAAGCATAGGCGACACCGATTCTCTTTATTACGATGGCAAAGGTTAGATTCAAAGAAATCTTTAGAAAATTCTTTTTTAGTTCGAATAAAATAACACCACACAATAAAGTACAATACAATACACTACACTACATTATATTACACTACAAGACAAATGTAATGTAATACAATACACTACACTACACTACAATACAGTAAAATAATATAAGATACATTACAATACACTAAAATACAATGCAATACGATACAATGCAATACGATACAATCAACAACAATAGAATACACTACAAAACAATAGAATTCACTACGATGTGATTCATTCCCGCATAGCACTACACAATACGATATAATTATAATAATATAATGGACTAATGAATAAATCACGCACTGTACTTTTGATTTGTTTTGTAAACTTGAGCATCTGTTTGGAATGATCCGGCCCTTCCTAAATATGTCCTCTGGCATCAACTAATGCGCTCAGAAATTCATCACAATTCACCTGGAGCGCTTGTTTTGTTTGTTGAACGTGAAAATCTCGTTGAAGGTCGCCCTGAAAGACGTGCTCATGACGAGGAAAACAAACAGGTTGATGGAGCCGTTGAAAAAATCAAAGAAAAGGATAACGTAGCTGACCACATGCACGAGGTTGTGGTACGTGCGCAGGTAGTAGTACTCCTCGACGATGTACTTGGCCATGTAGTGGGCCACACGGGGACTGAGGTTCATCACGTACAGGCCGATGATCACCAGCAGCATCTTGACGACCTTCTGGTCACGGCTGGACACTGGTCTGGTTAACTTCTGACCAGATTTGGCCGTGGGGTCAGACGATTTCGGCGCGTGAGCCGCGACAGTTTCTTTGCGCTGGTAACGAAATTCGGCTGCTTCTCTGAGCTTGGTTGACATAACGATGGCCGAGATGACGATAACCACCAGACTGACCATGGGCCACAGCGTGCCGGACAGGTTGTAGTAGCCGAACAGAACGGCGCTGTTCCTGTTGGAGAAGTCGCTGAATTTGTAGCTGGCGATGGTTGCGTTAAGCGTGACGTCCCACACCCAGAACACGTCGTAGATACCGAAAATGACCGAAAACCAGCCGAAAACAATCAGGGACGTTAGCGTGCAGACAACGAGCGACAGCCTCGGCGTGAGCAGCCATTTCACTTTAAGCGGGAAAACGACGCAGAGACACCGCTCCACAGCGACGTAGCCGGCCAGCACGCTGGTCACGTAGGTGGAGAAGGACACCAGATAGTTGAACACGACCAGACAGATATTGGTCCAGGTGAGGGCGTAGACGGGGGAGAAAATACTTATGGGCCCGGCCATCCTCTGCATGACGCCGCCCAGGCTCTTGATCAGGTCCCAGATGGAGATGGTTGTCATGGAGATGCCGACGCTGTCCTTGAACCCTTGTTTGGCGTACACGATGATGACAAGGATGTTTGTAATGACGCCGAGCATGGCCAAGATGAAGTTCAGCGCCAAGTCGATGACGATCTCGAGGAGTCTCCTGAGGCTGTTGGTGATGAAAATCTCCTGGGGGACAAACTCGTCGTTCGCCGCTACGACCTTCGGTCCGATGGTTTGGCTCCAAGCTAATGTTAAGTTAACACAATGTGCCCAACAGTTGGACATTCTCCTGGCCAGGATTGTAATGAAGTACACCTCGTCCTGGTACCATGGAACACTATTTTAAAAAATAATCAAATCTTGTTGTAGTTGTTGTTGTTTTTATGTAAAGAAAACAATGCCCTTCCAAAAAAATTTACAAAATATTCAAAATAAAATTTAAAAAAGTTTAATCAAACAAATTTGCTTTACGTCAATTTTATGTGTAGATCTATCCTAACTTCACCAGCTGTTTCATATGCATGAAAGAATGCCAATAAATGAAGCGTACATACTCAGCGCCATGATATATTTTCATTAGGCAACAATAACTGTTAATTTGTTGGGTTTTTTTTTAAAGAAGGTTAATGTTTATTAAAATGTGGGCAAAACTTTTCCCATCACCGGCTGTAATATGATCTTCGATAGCCTATATTTCAATTCATTAAAAAACAACAACTTTAAGTTCGAATATTACTATATTTTTTTTTCTGCTAAAATTTCAATTTAACGTTTGTTTATATATAAAAGCTGCCAAGACAATCAATTGAATAACTTGTCTAGCTCTAGCTGATGGAAGGAAAAAGAAAATGTTTCGTAAATTGGACTTCAGAATTTTTTTTCTTTTCTGATCGCAATTCGGCATGCCCATAATAACTGCAAACCAGCTGCATGGTTTGCGCTAGTGCATGTGTACTTAACAATGTATTAATTTCGCGGAGTAACGATCAAGTACCAAGCAGGACCAGGTGTATTTGAGTTGTATTCTATTGACATTTAAATACCGTGTGATGGGACTATGTACTTTGTAGCTTAATGATCTGGGTGGAAATTGTACTGAGCTGAACTTTTCCTTTATTGCAGTGAAATAATAAGTAAAAGGCGTCTTGATATCGGTGGCTCTAAGATTAACAAGAGAGGGTACAACATTCGGGTCAGTTTTATATTACAAACTATGTCATGTACAGTAATGTGTTCAACAGAGCAACGTTTTATTGATGCAGTTTGACATTTAGACTGCAGCTGAAGGCTTCGCTCGGAATTTTATCATGGAAAAATAAATTAAGTCCTCCCTCAATCTTTCAATAATTATTGACTGAATAAATAATCGCCCCGCCATTTTAAATGCAGATAATCAAATTAGTAATACAAAATGAATGAAAATATATTTAGTTTGTGGGCAAATATTGAAAGTCTTCAATAAGTTGCTATGAGCAGCAGTATAGCCATTGAAGAAACTCTTAATTATCTAAATTTTTATTATTTATATATATATATATATATATATATATATATATATATATATATATATATATATATACATATAGTGTGGACGTTGAAATGTCATTGGGAAATTGAAGTGCGTGCTTAAAACAAACACCTTCCTAATATGTTATTGCAGTGCAAATAAAGTATTCTTAATTGCAGAGGCGCACTTGGAGATCTAATCTCATTTGCGAGTGACGTAAAGCTAGCTAAGGTACAACATTGCTGCTTAGTGGATACCCAATTAAAATTAATTACGCATCACGACGAAATTACCAATCTCATCATTACCTGGTACATAGATTCTATGTGTGTGTGTGCGTGCGTGCGTGTGTGTGTTTTCTATTTTTTTTTTATTTTGAAAAAAAAATTATACCATTGACCTTTATAATTGATCTATTACTGTGATGATGAATCTCATTGTCAATCAGAAGAAATGTTCTACCCATCAACCGAAGGGCATGTCAGTCTCCACAAAGAGGTACTTCAGAATGATGTAAGAGAATTGCACTACAACATCAGCCACACCACTACAGCAGAATTAGTTGCGATAGCCAGAGCTTTTCCTCTAGGCGTTGATGTCTAGATCGTGAAAGCTTTATTTTAATCTTAGTTCAATTAAAACAGATGCTATTACCCGAACAATAAAACTCATTTTTGTTCAATAGCTGGCATTAGTTTAAGTGTAGTGGGTGCATGAAGTATTTACATTGTTAGTGCCAGAACTGCGATGCACCTTATTTAACTACGGGATAAGCCCCATTGCATTTATGAGTAAGAAATGTGGATAACCGCGTCAACAGATGTCCAAATTAAGAGTCACGTGGGTGATATTTTTAAAAAAGGTTTTTTCGCGGAGAAGCGAGGTATTTTTTAGCCGAGGGCAAGTAGACTTGTACATCCGGGTATTGTTGAACTTAAAGGTAACTGCTGAAATCCTCTACACTCATAATTTATCAACTTCTCTAACGTAGACGAGAGCTAACATTTGAGTACACAACATTTGAGTACACAACATATGAGTACACAACACACATTGGAATAAGTTATAATTTTGGCAGCGTACATTTATATCAGTCAAATGCTAAATGTTATAATTAATTAATTATCAAATTTTCCAATATGGAAAAACATTGAAAGCCCGTGATGAGGGGGGGGGGAGAGAGAGAGACAATGTAAATTTGACAGTGTCCTGTTTTATCAAATGTCAAATGAACAGTGTGCGCATTGTCGCACACGTCAAGAACAACTAGTTTCCGTAGCACCGGACACCATAGCTGTGGAAACGTGTACTGTCTACTTAAAACCTCGCTCGGAATCACTCTGTGACATTTTTTTTTTCTAAACTCTGTCCCCAGTTAGGACAACTTAACGTTATGAACGAACTAATGGTCAGCTACTAGTTTCTCGCTCCGGTCAGCTACTAGTTTCTCGCTCCGGTCAGCTACTCGTTTTTCGCTCCGGTCAGCTACTAGTTTTTCGCTCCGGTCAGCTACTCGTTTTTCGCTCCGGTCAGCTACTCGTTTTTCGCTCCGGTCAGCTACTAGTTTCTTGCTCCGGTCAGCTACTAGTTTCTCGCTCCGGTCAGCTACTCGTTTTTCGCTCCGGTCAGCTACTCGTTTTTCTCTCCGTTCAGCTCCTCGTTTTTCGCTCCGGTCAGCTACTAGTTTTTTTTCTTGCTCCGGTCAGCTACTCGTTTCTCGCTCCGGTCAGCTACTAGTTTTTCGCTCCGGTCAGCTACTCGTTTTTCGCTCCGGTCAGCTACTCGTTTTTCGCTCCGGTCAGCTACTAGTTTTTCGCTCCGGTCAGCTACTAGTTTTTCGCTCCGGTCAGCTACTAGTTTTTCGCTCGGTCAGCTACTGGTTTCTCGCTCCGTCCCGAGTCCCCTTTCCAGCTACACCTGTTCAGTTATATTCCTTATGACCACTGCGAACTCGTTGCGAGAGTTTCGGCCCTGTTTATTTATTTTCTATAGCACACTGTAGAAGCAATAAAAATTTGAAGAAAGGTGAGTTGCGTTGGTATAAAATCCTCTGTTAAAACTAATGAAAGCAAAATTTAGAATTACAAGTATATCATTGATGACCTTTATAATCAGCAGGATTGTGTTCAGGAAAGGGTTCCTCTGAGTAATATCATTTTGTCAACAACAACAATAACAAAAAATAGTGTCAGGAGATAGTTCATTCGTAGATGAACCATTCTTCAGCAGACTTCAAGGGAATCCATTTATTTAGCGAATGCCGACATATTGAATGCCGGGACTTTTCAATGGAGAGGGTACTTTTATATGCAGCCAGGATATGAAAATACCGAAATTATTGTTTGAATTCATGCACTGAAATATTCATGAAAAGTCTTCGATCGTGTGGACAACAGGACGTGTAGCGCGGGGCATTTTATAATTGATAAAAGGACAGTGATCATTAAATTTCGCAATGCTTTATGTATATTATTGAACAGGACAGAGCCGATCGATTAATAAAATGTGAGAATAATCAAGGTGTTTCTGGGGTGAAATCCAGTGGCGTATCTGGAAAAATATCCTGAATGGAAAGTACACTAAATACTTCGGATGCACATCAAGATGTCTCTTTGCTGTGTAACTACATTGACTGTAGTGGAAATTCCGTTTTCCCCGTTGTGTGTGTGTGTGTTGTTGTTGTTGTTACTGTTTAGCTATCATTCTGTTCGAACAGTAAGGTCACTTAGTGACGCGGGAGGAGCAGCTCAGCACCTGTTATTGTCGAAACAGCCGACATCTTGACAAGTGCGACAATTCAGATGTGAATGTTAAATATGGAAGCTACAGGCATGTTACGATTATTTTTGGTTTCAATAAGATATCGTCCCATTGATAAACATGGGTGTTTCCCCATTGAATGAATTCAACGTTTTGGTAGATCATCTATTTATTGTTAATGTTATTATTAAACTGCATCTAAGAATTTTAAAAAATACATACATACATATATATATATATATATATATATATATATATTATATATATTATAACCATAACTTAGCATTCCATTATCAAACCCAATGAAATGTAGCGATTGCTAGTATTAAATTTCCATATTAAGAACTAAGCAAAACAATTGATGACACATTCACCCAATCCGTAGATTCTCTCTCTTTTCACAAAATATGAATAGCTTATAAAAGTAGTTCACCTTGTTATGGAGTCCCTTGGATGAAACAAGAGGAAAACGTGTGTAATTTCTTTTCAAAAACAAACAAACAACAACAACAACAAAATAAGAAAAACTAAACAGAAGATAGACGATAAATACGAGTACTAAGAAATTGTTGATGTATTATTCACCTAGCCTGATCTAATCACTTAGATAGCATCAGCGCCTAAGTCCCTATCCCGCCTACCTCCAAACTTCTGAAATGTGTACGCTTGACTTACAATGGTGAGCAACTGTCGGTTCAGTATTTCTTGTCTATAGAAAAACAACAATGCTTCTGAGTAACTGTTAAATATCTATAAATATATATATATATATATTTTTTTTTAAATTTTATGCTTTAAAAATGCCAGTAGTGTGCTCCAAATTTTAGAAAACCAGTTCCATGGAGATGTGGGTGCATCGGTTCCAGGACACAGTCGCCTGTCTCAAAAAATAGAACATAATTGTTAAACGACCAATAACGAGTATATGCCCCAAAGGCACAGTCAATTACCCAATCTGTCTATTCTTATATGCCCCAAAGGCACAGTCAATTACCCAATCTGTCTATTCTTCTCAATTTATCTTTCAGTTTAGGTTATAGGAAATCTTTTTATTATTTTTTTCTTACTCTTTGCATATATAATTAAGTACAAAATGCTATCGTATTACCGGCCCACCACGAGGAGTTTAACGGGTCGAACTCTCGTATCACGCTTTACTTGCTCCTGAGTATCGATCGATCAGTCTTTGATTCCCCACGGGCTAAATTTTAATTCGGCTTTCAGCGATTGAAAAAAGAAAAAAAAGTGGGTCATTATTGCTGGTGTTCACCCCAGGAGACCGGCAGTTTTGTCATAACACAACCGCGAGGTCAATAGACACGGCCGGCTGGGGGGGGGGGGTGGTCATTATTGCTGGTGTTCACCCCAGGAGACCGGCAGTTTTGTCATAACACAACCGCGAGGTCAATAGACACGGCCGGTTGGGGGGGGGGGGGGGGTGGGGGGTCACGCTACACGGAAACAAAACAAAAAGAAACATCACGGACCGCTAGATTCAATTCAATGACCTTGACCTTGACCCCGTGAGAGAAACAAGAATTTAGCGCGTTAATATTTATGACTAGCTGTAAATATAAATGTGTTCAGATTTATAAGTTCAAATAACCGCCCTTGTTGAAATGAAATCAAGGCTCTATCTGCAAATTCAACGTTATGAGACCCGGAAAGTTGACAGTATCCTGGGGTGATTCGACGAATATAATGTAACAGTAAATAAATTATAGTTAAATTAGAACTGGGTCGCATCCGGGTTTTTTTGTGTGTTTTTTTTGTTTTACTCTTCTTTTTAACCAATTTTAAAATTACTGTTGGCACACTTTTTAGACTCCATCACGGTCGACATCTTGGGTATAGAACTCGATTGTACCAAGGTAGCTTAGACACGCCACTTCAATCTCAACAAATCAATACATACTCCATAAGGAATTAGATCGGAAGCATTTATTGTGCTTTTTTTTATTGCAAAATTACTTTGTTGGCACGCAGAAACTGTGACAAAAATAAAACACAATTTAATGTGCTTGAGGCATGTGCTTTCTGGGGCATCTTGTATTTTAAGTGCCAGTCTTTTTGGGTGAATTTAGCAAGTGGTTAGGTGGATAATATGTTAAAAAGTGTTAATGGCCCGAGCTGACTCATGGCTTTCTCGTGTTGGGGCCAGTTGCCTCACTAGGGTTGATGTCAAACCAGTGCTGTAAGCTCGTGGCTTCATCCGGCGCTGTAAACTCGTGGTTTCACCCGGTGCTGTAAACTCGTGGTTTCATCAGGTGCTGTAAGCTCGTGGTTTCATCCGGTGCTGTAAACTCGTGGTTTCATCCGGTGCTGTAAACTCGTGATTTCATCCGGTGCTGTAAACTCGTGGTTTCATCCGGTGCTGTAAACTCGTGGTTTCATCCGGTGCTGTAAACTCGTGGTTTCATCCGGTGCTGTAAACTCGTGGTTTCATCCGGTGCTGTAAACTCGTGGTTTCATCCGGTGCTGTAAACTCGTGGTTTCATCCGGTGCTGTAAACTCGTGGTTTCATCCGGTGCTGTAAACTCGTGGTTTCATCCGGTGCTGTAAACTCGTGGTTTCATCAGGTGCTGTAAACTCGTGGTTTCATCCGGTGCTGTAAACTCGTGGTTTCATTCGGTGCTGTAAACTCGTGGTTTCATCGGTGCTGTAAACTCGTGGTTTCATCCGGTGCTGTAAACTCGTGGTTTCATCCGGTGCTGTAAACTCGTGGTTTCATCCGGTGCTGTAAACTCGTGGTTTCAGCCGGTGCTGTAAACTCGTGGTTTCATCTAGTGCTGCAATCGAAAGATGTCAACCTTCTGTAAACTCATGGTGTCAAAACAATTACCCACCCCCAACCCCACAAAGGTTCCCATTAATTTCCTCCCAGTCCACCTGTTCTGTTTCAGTGTCAATCTGATCTGATGACAACAACTCGTTATGGATTCAAAATGATCTGATGACAACTTGTTATGGTGTCAATCTGATCTGATGACAACTCTTATGGTGTCCAATTGATCTAATGACAACTTGTTATGGTGTCAATCTGATCTGATGACAACCTTTTATAGTGTCAATCTGATCTGATGACAACCTTTTATAGTGTCAATCTGATCTGATGACAACCTTTTATAGTGTCAATCTGATCTGATGACAACCTTTTATGGTGTCAATCTGATCTGATGACAACCTTTTATGGTGTCTATCTGATCTGATGACAACAACTCGTTATGGATTCAAAATGATCTGATGACAACTTGTTATGGTGTCAATCTGATCTGATGACAACTCTTATGGTGTCCAATTGATCTAATGACAACTTGTTATGGTGTCAATCTGATCTGATGACAACCTTTTATAGTGTCAATCTGATCTGATGACAACCTTTTATGGTGTCAATCTGATCTGATGACAACCTTTTATGGTGTCTATCTGATCTGATGACAACCTTTTATGGTGTCCATCTGATCTGATGACAACCTTTTATGGTGTCTATCTGATCTGATGACAACCTTTTATGGTGTCTATCTGATCTAATGACAACTTGTTTTGGTGTCCATCTGATCTGATGACAACTCTTATGGTGTCTATCTGATCTGATGACAACCTTTTATGGTGTCAATCTGATCTGATGCAGAGGCGTAGCGGGGGTGTTTAGCGCCCGGGGACAAGATCCATTTTAAAGTGCCCCTTTTTTTTTTTCAACTCTCAAACCCATTATTTTCATCAATAAAATAATATCAAAGCACATTTTCGCGTCCTTAAATAGCTGGTGCCCAGGGACATCTGTCCCCTCCTGCACCCTGTCGCTACGCCTCTGATCTGATGACAACTCGTTATAGTGTGGACTTGATCTAATGACAACTTTATTTGGTGTCAATCTGATCTGATGACAACCTGTTATAATGCCTACCTATTGTCTTTTTAACCGAGATCGGTTATGAAATCTCATCAAACGAATTCTGTCAAATTAACCCTTTTCAAGAGTTTCCCTTTGTGAGGATGTCCCCGGGTGCGGTTATCGTAGCCCCCCCCCCGGACACCTCCAGTAAGTGACGCTAAGTGACGCTGAGGGTTTCACCGCAGCCTCTCTTTTAAACATAAACAACTATTGAACTACAGATCTTATCATTTCAAACATGGAATAAAAACACAGTGATTGTAAACGTTTAGTTTAGTCTTTGGAAACAAAAACCACTCGTTCTATTCCTAAAAACTTCAACAGTCTACCCTTTGCAAGGAGGCTCTCATATTAAATAAGCCCCCCCCCCCCAACCCCATTTTTTTTTAAACCCATGCTCCAGGAATTTTCTTTTTTGGCATACGTTGTACTTTATTTGACACTAACACCCTACACCGGGTTTGTCGATGTCTGCTTTCTTTTTTACCCTTTGCAAGGAGGCTCTCATATTAAATAAGCCCCCCCCCCCAACCCCATTTTTTTTTAAACCCATGCTCCAGGAATTTTCTTTTTTGGCATACGTTGTACTTTATTTGACACTAACACCCTACACCGGGTTTGTCGATGTCTGCTTTCTTTTCATTTCAGCTTTTTCTATTAGATCTTGAAGACAGCAATCAATCACACACACACACACACCCACGCACACACACGTATAGCTTTTGGCTTTCTACCTAGAACCTAATCCAACATATTGGCGTATCCAGATGATTCGATTTTGGATCAAGTTTTTTTTGTTTTTTTTTTAAAGGGTGGAGTGGGGGATTGGGGGGCATTTCTAGCTCTTCAAGAGGGATCTCATTCATAGGAAATTCTCGGCGTTGCATGGAAGGAATGACGTGATCTGTCATGTAAAGGATCCCGTGCGCCCCAAGTGGTGTGCACTGTTCAATGTTTGCATAGAAAGCGTGGCTCATGGGACCCGACTACCCACTCGGTTATTTCTGAACCAGCCCATGACAAGCCAATGGCTATAGCTATACCTATAGATCTATAACTGTTTTTGGTGGTAGGATTACACACAGAAATGAACGTAAGTAACTAACTTTATTAAATTTATATTATAAATAGATTGTGGGTTTTTTCGATACTAAGATTATATTTGTTTCTCTTGTCACTAAAAACGAAGAAGGCATTACTTATATGATTATTATCTACGGCTAAGTTTAAAGTCTCATGATACTATTTTGTTGGTTTTTTTTTGGATTAATTTTATGATCCTTAAGGTACTGTCATTTCTTTTAGTACAGATAAATAAACAACAAATATATGAAATAACATATTTCGTAAATTTAACCATATTTAAAAATTTAAAAATTTATTTTAAACGTTAGTAAAGTTTTCAAACAAATCAAAGGTGCCACTCCCCCCAACCCCCCCCAACCCCCCCACCCCCCACTCCCCCCCAAAAAAAAAAAAAACAAACAAAAAAACAAACAAACTGCTTAATACATTTATTTATTTATTTATTCTACTTCTAGAGTATTATTTTAAAATGTTTCTTATTCTAACCGAGTTACCATTTATTTCAACAAATTTATCTCATATGCTACAAGCAGCTCTACGCGTGGTAAGAAATGTAAAATTGGTAGAGGAAAAGAAACTTTAGAAAGACAATTTTTTTTTGTAAAGTTGACGTTTCATATAAAAATCTTTCCATAGAAAACTACAGTAAAGACAATCTTATCGAAAATAGTTATTTTGTTGATCTTTTTTTAAAAAAAGAAAACTGCCTCAGCTCTAGACGTGACTGGGTAAAAAAAAACAAAAAAAAAACGCTTTTACGATGTTCGGACTCAGCAAGAAGTCCCACAAACCCACGACATTCTATGCACTAGCGTTCTGTATCCATGTGGTGGCCTTCGTCCTGATGGCCATTGGGATGTTCACCCCGTACTGGTCAGAGATCACGGAGCAAGTCGGGACGTCAACTACCAACTTGAAGTACGACAAGGGTAAGAATGAACTGATGACATCAAGTTTAGTATTATTATAGTTCTGACATTCAACAATATTTGACATTCCACAATTTTTTTAATTCTTTCATTCAACAATGTTTTAATTCTGAAATTTAACAATTTTTAGTTCAGTAACTTTATTTCAAAGCAAATCATTATTCCTCTTTTTTTTTTCTTTTCTTTGGCCATTGAAAATTGTCCACGTGAGAAATGAAACTGTTACTAATGATAATGTTCCTGTAATCTGGTGAGTATAAAGTCAAAACAACTTGTTGTGACAGCAGCTGTCGAACAAACATTCGGAAGATAGCTGTGACATCGGCTGTCGAACCAACATTAGGACGATAGCTGTGACAGCAGCTGTCGAACCAACATTGGGAAGATAGCTGTGACAGCAGCTGTCAAACAAAAAATTGGCAGTATAACAAAACAATCTCAAGGAAAAAAAATATACCAGGCAGTTCTGAAAAATCTATAAATTGTCTTGAAAGTTCATCTTTTCATGACTGAACAATGTTATAATTTATAAAGCTGTTCTTTTGTCCCGTGAAATTGCACGTAAGACACTGCAACAGCTGACTTCGTTCCGAAATTTGGCAACAAGTTTCTTTATAATTTAATGACATATATGTTAAACCTCTATGAAGAGCTTTTTCTTAACAAATAGTCACATTGTAAGCTTATTAAGATAGCCAAAAATGTCTTTCAATAAAGAAACTTTTTACCATTCTGTCCATAATTGTGCAAAATATACTCAAATTCGCAAGTTTTCCTTGACTACAGTTTTCAGAAATTCAATCACATATTCTAACGAAACATTTGGGTTGCCGACCGGTCTAAACTGCTTTAATCCCAAGCTTCTGGACTGGAGTTCAATCGCGCCCCCCACCCCCACCCCCCCCCTCCCCGTAACTTCCCCAAGCAAAAGCCAACACATGGAAAGACATGGGTGTTTGGTTCTCGATAACCTTGGAGGACCACTTATACACGTGATGGGCAACATGCAACTGATGGGAAACTACCTTTTCACGTGATCAAATTATGGAAACAAGTTAGAAAAGAAATTGGTTTTAACTTAACTTCAACTTTAAAACCAAATGGTCTCACCCCATTCAAACACATTATAGAATCTAACGTGGGCCCATCGCCAGGACCGTGCCGAGGCAAAGGACGGAATTAAACTAAGACCATCGGTGAACGCTCCTTCTGCTTCCATGGGCCCACGTTCTGGAACCAGCTCCCCTTCCATATCCGTCATTGTGAAACCTCGTCCATTTTCAAAAAGTCCCTTAAAACTCATCTGTTTAGGTCCGCCTATGACCTGTGATGCACCCTCCTTGCCCTGCCTCATTTTTCTGTTTCGGGTTGATCCTGAAGTATAGGCCAAAATGTGTCAAAGTGTCCTCGTTTTATAGCCATTGTTTCTATAGTAGAGTAGTTACTATCCTAGTGTCTCATTTTTATTTTACTTAGTTTACATGTTTTAATAATTGTAAAGCGCTTAGAGCTTTATGGTAAGCGCTATATAAAAATGCCTAAATAAATAAATAAATAAATTAAATCGTTTGGTACAATTTTGACTTTTGGAGGGATCCAAAATTTGAATATGCTCGGAGATTAAAAACAAAATTCCTCTGCACCGCCCTGCTTATAGTGCATCTTAAAATCAGATCATTATTTTAAAATATATTTCCGTGTATTCGTCATGATTTTTTTTTATTATTTCATAAACTTTGCATTCTCCAGGTCTGATAATGAGCTGTTCTCAAGCAAAGAGTTGCGAGGCCAACATTTACTACACATCAGCATCAAGTGAGTTGTAATGATGGGTGTAAGTTGTTGTGAGATGTAATGATGGCTGTAAGGTTGTTGTGAGATGTAATGGTGGATGTAAGGTTGTTGTAAGCATGTAATGATGGATGTAATATTGTTGTGAGCATGTAATGATGGATGTAAGGTAGTTGTGAGATGTAATGATGGATATAAGTTTGTTGTGAGATGTAATGATGGATGTAATATTGTTGTGAGATGTAATGATGGATGTAATATTGTTGTGAGATGTAATAATGGATGTAAGGTGTTTATTTTCAATAAAAAGGTAAGAGCTTGAAGAAATTTAATTGAGTAACGGTTGAGATATAGCATATTAATATATGTTTGGCGTCTCGTGTCGTGTTCATAAGAGGGCGAAGTTAAATCCTATGGCAGGGTAGGCATATGACTAGGGCATCAGTTTAAGCCCAATTTCAAGTAGGGCAAATTGTGGGGTTAAAATCGAATCCGTTTATGGTGTCATTGTTTACGACGGTATTGTCGTAGTCCTTTCCATAGCTCTAAATTTGACTGCGGGGTCAAGAGCCTAAACTTCCGCTACCTTAAACAGGCATACCGGTATTTTTAAAAAGCGACCACATAAAACCGGTACAAGTCTCTACATATTTTTTTTTAACGATCATTTATGTAAACAGGTGATGACGACCGCATCACAATTCCGATTACTTAGAGAGGTACCGGTTTAATGCGGTTCTATGTTTTTGAATTGGTATCATTGTGTTATGTTTGCTTGGTTAGAACATTATTTATGTTATTTATGTGGTGAAAATAAATGTATACAATGTATCAGGGTTTGTGATTTCTAACAAGCGGGAAACGTTGCAACGCATCGCGTCTTGTTACTATTTTTAGACAATCTTTTTTTTTATTTAAAAAAGTAGCTTTTAACAATGCATCACCTCATATATAAAGAAGTAGCTTTTAACAATGTATCACCTCATATATAAAGAAGTAACTTTTCTTTTGGTTAATTCTTTAGTACACTAAAGTTGTAAACACTTTTCGTCTAGGATAAGGCTCACGTTAACGTAAAAGCACCAAACAGTTGCTGAGAGATTTAGCCAATCGGGATACCAGGATGTTTTATTGATATCTTAATGAGATTGGCCAGGCTGAAAGCCCGGATGTTCCATTAATAGAGTTCCGCCATGAAATGACCAAACCCTATTTTAAAATAATCGTATCCTTTCTTAATTATTACAATATTTATTAATAGATCAATATACAAGCCCTGTTTTCATTTCCCCTTTACAGAGGTCTTCTTCGCATCCTTTGTGATTGGAATCATTGCCATCATCATTGGTTTCTTCACCTTACAGCTGTTTTGTGCCGGGCTGTTCATCAGGAGTTGTCGGGAGACCAACCTCGGCATCCCGGTGGCGGTCATGTCCATTTTTGAAGGTGCGCACATTTGAACACATTTAGTTGAATTCGATCATTGAACAAACGACCTGCGAGTTATCCTGCTTGAGATTTGTCGGCTCAGTTACTGTATGGTGTGGCATCGTATGCATGTTAATCTGGACGAGAACATTCAAAGCGTAGAAGATGGTCAAGTATTTTGGCCTGAGAAGAAATATAATTTCCAAATGAGTCCCATGATGCCAGCTTCATGTGAAAGATTATTATAGCCACTCCATTGAGTCATAAATATGAATCTCTCATGGATGACCGGTTTATCAGCCGTCCGTTCCCCATTTCAACGCCAGCCATACTTGATTGATTCTGACTCAACGGTAGCACATCCGCGCTCAAGTGTCAAGTCTTTCAGACTGACCGGTAGCAAATCTGGGGTTACATGTCTGGTCTTTCTGACTCGACTGTAACAAATATATGTTCAAGTGTCCAGTCATTTTGACGCAGCAGTAGATTTTCTTGGGTCAAGTGTCCAGTATTTTTGACTCAACGGTAGCGAATATAGGTTCACTGGTCTAGTCTTTCCAGACATGATAAAATACAGACCTCCATCTGTAGGTGTACATAAAAGATTTTTATTAATTTACTTAACGTCAAAGAAATTCAACTTTCAAACAGCGATTCAACTCTATTCTAACTTGTTGAATTTTTTGAGGATGAATTGAAGTTGAATAGCGGGGTGGTGCCCCAAGAATGGTACTGAAAGGATTGTCCAAAGAGGGTCTCAATTGTCAATTCCAGTAGGACACTAATAGAATCAGTAGTAGAGACATCAGTGTTCCTTGGCACTATTTTCTTTCTTATATGTAACAAGATTTTGGTCATAATGTATCGTACAGTCAAAGTTAATCTGAAATGTCCTATATAAAGGGATTTAAATATTGTAATCAATTAAAAACAATTAGTGTAAAGTGTTACGATTTAAATGTAATTTGTAAGGTCTACTCTCACAGGCTATGACCTAACGGAGGCGTCCAGGCGCTTGGTCCATTAAAATGTCTACCATCAGAGGGGTCAAGTTAACTTCAAATGGGTGTTCACCTCTAAGTATCTTCTGCTTTCTGGCCCGGGTAGTGAGTGAACTCTAGGTGGCTTTTGTTCTCTGGCCGGAAAGTCGAATGTAGTGACCACGCAGTACACCTGGATGAATGTATCGTTTCTAACGCATTAAAATCAAACAATGAATTCTACACCTTGTCTGATTCAATAAAAATTTCCTGTGGTTTGCCTGCCTGTTCTCACCGACACTGTATTCGGGGCTGCAATTTTCAATAACTTTATAATTTTTTTTTAATTTCAGGGGCATTACTCATCGTGACTCTTATTTTCTTTGAAATATCCATCGGCCAGGACACCACGGCTGGGAACATTCACAGAGATGACACATTCGGGTTTTCCCGAGGTTTAATCATAGGCTCGGTTGTTCTCTATTGGGTCTCATCCTTTTTCATCATAGGGGAATACTTCAGGAGACTTAACACGTAAGGTTTTGTAACATTTTTTTTATAGGCGCTAATGATTACATTTACTTTAATGGTTACATTCATTTTAATGATTTAATTATTTTGCACCAGAGAAAAGAAACCATCCATCGTAATGAAAAAGAATTTTAATATTTATTATAAAAATGCGTAAAATTGGGGGGGGGGGGGGATTTAGTTTTTATGGCTCATTTCTATCCAGAAAAAAAAATTATTTTTATACACTTATTGCATTCATCTCAGGTCGTAGAGTCGTGATGTTGATTTGCGCTCCGTGTGAAGTACTTGCTTGGGTTGTGGGCATTCTTCGTCCACTCCGGGCTCTTAACTGGGGAAACGTAACAGAATGGACTTCAGTTAGAGCTTTAAAAAATTGAGATTGATGCAAGAGAGAAAAACAAAAAGATCACACCCAACTTCTTTAAACGTTTGTTCAAAAACTCTGACGACCAAAACCTTTTAGGAAAGTTTAGATGAGAACAGTGAGGATTTAAAAAAAAAAAAAAGTTTTATTTAATTAACTGCTGTTTGGGGGCCTGGTGGTCTATACTAAGGGGCTAGAAGGATGCAAATAGTTGTATTTTTTTATATTTTGCGCTTTGAAATAATCAAGCTGCTAAATGGTATTTATGTGGAATAACGTATGAATTTTTATGGCTGGAAGTCCCAGAACAAGCCAATCGGTCAAGTAGCTAGCAACAAAAGGGATTAGGAGTCTAGGAGAGATTGATACTTTTGTAATACACCGAGAAAAAAAAGGGGGGTTTTAAAATTAGATTCCTCTTTTATCGTGAGGAGCGAATTTTAGAACAGTAAATACGTGGATGGATAAGAACCGAGTATGTAAGTTTTCCCACTGTCGAGATTTACAATTGAGAGAATGTGTGTATTCAACGTCCACACAGAAGATGTCCAAGTACAGATTGTGATTGTTGCCATGTTGTTTATGCACGGTCAGCAAAGAAGTTATCCCATATTTAAATCATTGATATAATGTTTCTACAAACGTCCACAGGGAAGCGGTTCCCAAGCCAATCCCGAGCAGGACGACGAGGGGCCCACCACCACCACAAAGACCCAGAAATGATTACGAGAGAGGTACAGGGCCTCCCCCTTACAAGTAGTGGTCTAATAATAACTCCGAGAACTTTCACCGTCATTAAATTAATGCAGGGATCTCATCTCATTGATTATTTTAAGTATAGATCTAGTTTCGTTGGGTTAAGAATTTAAGACAGAAAAAAAGAGAAAGAGAAAAAAAAAAAGAAGAAGAAAGAATGAAAGAGGAGACAGACATTTTGAATTAGTATTTAGTAATAACGACTAATATAAAAACACTGATCAAACTCACAGCTTTAATTATTTATATTTTTTATTGAAATTTAATTAATTTTGTAACATATTTTAACTAGGATTTATTTCTGTTTCTATAAACATTATTTTCGGTATTTTTATTTAAATTGCATGATGAGCTAGTGGTAAAAATATAAGCAACAGAAATTTGTTGATGGTCTAACAACATTTTAATATATATATATATATATTAGGGGTATGATATTTTGATTTTTTAAAAATAATTTAAAGTGGGGGGGGGGTGGGGACTGGGAGTTGGGTCATAAACATCATGCCAATGAGATTAAGTCTTTAACAGGCTTAGTCTAGACTTAGCAAACTGAACCTATTACACTTAACGTATGTAATGTGTGCTACTCACAAGTGGTCAGAATATGGTTGTTTCGACAAAGATTCACTTTTTATACTTTGTTCCAACGTTTTTACTCCAATCATAGGCCCAAGCTTGAATTGTAAATTTCAAGCTACAATTTGTTTATTGGTTTACTATATAATTTTGCTCAATTATTGAATTTTATATTTGTGACAATATTATTCTGGAATTATGCGGGTACAATATGTTGGTTTTTTTTTTTTCCGTCTTTATCAACAGTATTTACTATCTTCCATAAAATATACTGATATCGTGTATAGCCTTGAGAGGAATCAAGGTGGCATATCAATATTACAGAAGAGTATTTATGATATAATAATATAGCCTACTTCTCACCGGTTTTACTAAGAAATTATTCATGCTGTAATCATCTGATATTTATTTATTTTTTTTTTTAAATTAAATAATATATAGTTATGAACAAAACAAAAAATTCGTTGCTGTTTCTTTCATTTCTCCTCGTTGTTCTTTCTAATCAATGTTTGGAGCTTTTTTTTTTTTTTTATACAAAATTATTAAAACGCGACAATTTTAAATAATTCTAAAAAATACAGCTTAATACACACAACATGTACAACTAATAATTTAAAAAGTAAGCTAGTAAGTATTTTTTTTTTTACAAAATTATTAAAACGCGACAATTTTAAATAATTCTACCCCCAATGTAATTTTTTACTCTAGTATACTTTTATGATACAAAAAAAAATACAGCTTAATACACAACATGTACAACTAATAATTTAAAAAGTAAAGCTAGTAAGTATTTTTTTTTTTTTACAAGCATTTATATATTTTTAAAACAGTCAATATCCTAATGGAAATGTGCAAAATGGAAACTAAAATAAAAAACTGAATACAGTGTTCATGAACAGTTTTTAAGTCATTGTAAGAGAGGTTTTTATTTCATTTGTTTTTTTTAAATTTAATTTTTTAATTTATTTATTTTCTTATAATTTAATCAAACAAATTTAAACGTTTCTGTTTTCCTTATATTCACTGAGCAATTCAGTTACTTTTGAGCAACTCCGACTAACAACCATTGACGATACATTACTTTTAAAATATGACATTTTAAAAATTTTTTTTATTCCGAAAACATTTTTAATAAAAAAAACAACACATTTACGTAATTATTAAATTAATTTCCCACTAGTGGCTACCATCTAAAAAACTTCTAAATCTATGATCAAGGAGAAAGATGATTTTAATTCCTTTCAAAGAAATCCTGGCACGAACATATCAAGTTAAAAAAAAAAAAAAACACAAATTTTGTCTCTAAAAAATCGTATATCTTGATGTATCTGCAACATTTAAATTTCAATACTGGAGCTATTCTAATTTTTGAGCTCAGAGAAAGTCTTACCATTCTCTCAAACATTTATCAATCTATCCATTTTGACAGTCGTTTGTCTTTTTTCCATTGACTGACATAAATAAGTGGCAAAGTAGTTGGCAATAGGTTGCCTTTGTCGAGACTGCCAACTAATTTTCATTATAATATAAGATGAATATACACCGCATTTTGACGAGATTATTGTGTCTCCATTACTGATACATGGATGATCATAAATTGAATATAATAATTTAACAAAAGATATTAAGAGCATTAACCAATGTTTCTTTCAAGAAATTAAATCAAATTTTATTTTATTTTTAAATTCCCGATTACACATAATTATTTTTTTACAATAAGAAATCCTACAACTAACTTATCACACGTTTACTGTAAGGACCTCCATCTGCTGACCACGAAATAAACAAATCAACATAATATTTAAATTCCGGTGTCCTTTATACACACCTTATCTATGCCAGAAAAGTTAGATTGGACATAACAGTAGTCCTCTATGACACTATGCGACACCAAATTTACTTCTATTTTCAAAATATGTTCTGGCAAGCAAATCTGACAGGCTTAGAGCACATTTCCAACAGGTTTATCGCACAACGCCTGCTAGAAAAATGTAAGAGCAATAAAATGCTATTTGAAACGACCGCAGTTTAAATTGTTTTATTTTCTCCTAAAATAGAACTTATATTCCCGATCTCTCGTAATATATATATATTGACAGATTTATTTTATCCTCGTTACTTTTGCCAGAGAAGAGACTACGAGACCCCGTGGTTACCCAGGCGGCCCCTTCCCCGAGAAAAGCTCCAGTTGTCGCCGCGGCCGCCCCTCCCCCGTACAGCAAAAACAACCCTACCTACGTGGCAGACGAGGGCTGTGAGTACGAATGATTGTCAAGTATTGTGAATAACTATCTGACCTCTGTCTTACCACTGTCTTAAAAACGTGTCGTATATATAAACTGTTTTGTTTCTGTTGGATAATATAAATCTGCAATGTAATGGAGAAAAGTTGACTACATTTTTCTTGATCCCCCCTTCACCCCGTCAAAAAAAAAAAAAACGAAAACAATCTGCCAGCCCAACGTGGCATTCTTAAAAACGTTTCGTATATATAAACTGTTTTGTTTCTGTTGGATAATATAAATCTGCAATGTAATGGAGAAAAGTTGACTACATTTTTCTTGACCCCCCCTTCCCCCCGTCAAAAAAAAAAAAACGAAAACAATCTGCCAGACCAACGTGGCATGAATGCATGCAGCAGACCTGGGTGTCAGATGTGCAACTATGTGGCCGAGTCGCCAACCTTCTGGGGACCAGCCGGGGTGTTCAACATTAACGAGACACTGACATGTCAGGACAACCACGTCGTCTACGCGATCATATGTATGAGGGACGACAAGGTAAGCCTGTCACTGATGGTTGTTGGGACCATCCTTTCGTCATAGCCATCCAGGTAAGCCTGTCACTGAACGGTTGATAAAACCATCCTTTCGTCTTATCCATCTAGGTAAGCCTGTCACTGATGGTTGATAAAACCATCCTTTCGTCGTATCCATCTAGGTAAGCCTGTCACTGATGGTTGATAAAACCATCCTTTCGTCGTATCCATCTAGGTAAGCCTGTCACTGATGGTTGATAAAACCATCCTTTTGTCATATCCCTCTATCTGATGGTTGTTGAAACCATCCTTTTGACAAATCCATCTATATTCTTTCACATTACTTGTACACGCTCTTTTATCCAGAGATGTTACCATCCAAAACCAATACCATCGTACTTTCATTTTTTTTTTCATATTCTATCCTCTGATGCCACACTTCACACACATGGTGCTACTGTTACCCACACAACCACAGAGCCACAGTATTAAGTCAAAAAGTCATACTGCCGGTGTATTAAGTCAAACAGTCATACTGCCGGTGTATTAAGTCAAACAGTCATACTGCCGGTGTATTAAGTCAAACAGTCATAGTGCTCTTGTATTTGTATTACACCAAGACCGAGCTCACGATCTCTCGCGTTTTATTGGACATTCATTTTTTTTTAACTTGTATTTTCTTCTCTAATGATTGAATTCACCCGACAGTTTCTATGGTTCGGCTTTGGTTGGATCCCATTTCAAGACTGTGCCATGCATTGTTGTGCCATTCCTTTCCTAGCAGCTTGGCGACAATACCGGCCCGCCTCTCTAACGCCAGGGCCGGGATTGTCTCAGCGTGGTCTTGTTTCTTTCAGGTTTTCATTGGCCACTCGACGTTGAAACTGGAGGATACACTTAGGGTTCACCTGGCCAACATACGCTCCAATAACAACAGCGATGCCGTGGCTTATCACTTCTCAAGACCAGGCCACAACACACAGGACATAAGGGTGAGTCGAATCTGCTCTATAGAACAATAACATGGTTTTACTAGACCAGGCCACAACACATAGGACATAAGGGTGAGTCGAATCTACTCTATAGAACAATGACATGGTTTCACTAGACCAGGCCACAACACACAGGACACAAAGGGTGAGTCGAATCAGTCCAATAGAACAATGTTATAGTTTCACTAGACCAGGCCACAACGGTCTGATGGTGTCTTGATATAGTCTATAGTGCAGTTGCTTTGGTGATTCAGCATAAATAGTACGACTTTAATTCAATATGCGAGTCCAAAATTTACAAATGCGATGCACCTACCTCCTAATACATACATAAATAGTAATATACACATTTCAAAAAATAATTAAAACAATGAAAGTAGTCTATGTAAAAACTTTCATAGTTTCACCATTCTTGGCTTAAAAATTATTATGATCATGCAGCAAAATTCAAGAGTGCGTAATTAAGTCCTTAAAGTTATTTGTCACTGGATAAATGAGAAGAACTGTTTAGTAAGTTTCATATATATAGGCCGTTATTTTTCTTCGGAAAATATATGTTATGGTGCATTTGTTATATTCCAATATGTCGTCATGCTCAAAATAAAACATCACATTAGCCCTTATCAAACTGTGCACAATGGAACACTGAGAAGTCATTTTTTTTCTACCTTGCACCAGATTTCTGCACTGGCCTCACTGAACTGTGACAACGAGACAAGAGCCAGGCTTGAGAAGTCACTGTCGTACAACATGGACCAGCCCCACAGCTCCTACTACGGCATTAACGAAGACTTTGAATTCTTGTAAACTTAGCATTTTGGGATTGTCATCTCAGACCTAATATTATGCACCATTTTACTGGACATAATGTCATGAGATATTGTGCCATGCTGTAGCTAAATGACTATGTTATTGGACATGATGTCATGAGATATAGTGTCATGCTGTAGCCAAATGACTGTGTTACTGGACATAATGTTATGAGATATAGTGTCATGCTGTAGCAAAATGTCTGTGTTTACATTTAATGCCTTCTTTCTGAAGGTTTCTTTATAGCAGTAGAAAATCTGACATGAAAATACAGGCAACATTAACAGATAACTAATGCATTATTTGAATCCACTTTTTTTTTTAATCAATGAATCTTATCTTATATCATTGATATCTCCATTCCTTGTCTCACAATGCCGAAACCTTTTTAAAAAATCTTAATTCTTATTAAAACATAAAAAAACGACTTTTGTTGTTCACATTTGTTAATGAATTCTTATAATTTTTAGAATCTTGAATGCCATCCTCAGATTTACAAAAGAGATTCATATTCCTGGGTAACGGTATTTTAATATCCAAATATATAAAGTAAAAACATTTCTGGATGTATGTAATTTCATTTTTCATAAAAACGTGCAGCATATTGTTGACAGTGTTGATACAGTATTTGTATATGGAGCTGCTTTGTTTTTAAGTTTTTATGAGTAATTTCATGAGTAGTGAGCCATGCCAAAAAAAAATTTGTTAAACTTTGAGCAATCTTGTTGCATTTCAAAAATCGATGAATCATCATGCATGCCCTATTCTCATTGAAATGATTTGATGATTTGAACAGTAATATTTTAATATATTTTATTGAATTTTTTAAAAATCAAATTATATGAGATTCAATAACTTTAACATTTATATTTAATTTCCTCAAATTTTGGTTGAATATCAAACACACAAAAAATCGTTAACTCTTTGACTCCTGTGAGGTGACTGACCGCCTTGCCAATTTTTGGTTTCTGTCTCTTCAGCCGGCCGTAATGGCTCAAAATTGGATCATAATTTGTAAAAAGCCAAAGCGGTGTAAAGTTATGGATTCACAGATGAGACATTTTGCTTTATGAGTCAGTAAGCTATTTCATGTTTGCAACACAATTTCTTTGAATTTTATTGATGTTTTAAGGACCTATTAGCTGATTTCTATCTATGATTGAGCCGAGCGGCTCATGAATATGCCCTGATAAGAGATTTACTGCAGGTAAAGCTCTAGAAACAACTAAAATACTTCAATACAAAAAAATAAAACCAAATGTTAGTTTTACGTCTCAGGAATCGAATGGTAAGAAAAATATCGAGAACCACGAGTTCAAATTTGGAGTCACAAACGTTGGAAGTGCAGTGTAACAACAAATGTGTTATCAGTGACTTTAAGAACAGACTAACACATTTACTGCTAGAATGAGAGGATTAACCCTACAATTTTGCAAAACTTCTGAACTTGAACTGTAACTGACACTAATACTATTAGGAATAGAACTGATGTCAGCCACTTTCAAACAACTGAAACTTTATCAGAGTATGTGGATGACAAGACTCCACTACACAAACTAAACAGTGGCAAGATGTGGACAGAACAGCAGATAATTGTCGATTCGACCAAGTCGAAATGTTAATCCAAACCTACATCACACTACTCTCAATGTTAATCCAAATTAAAATCACACTACACAAACTCAAAGATAGATTGTTAATCCAAACCTACATCACACTACACACAATGTTACTCCAAATCTTTATCACACATTTTTTTTTTTTTTTTTGTAGCATTTTGCTTATTTTTCATCATGAGGTGTGTTTTATTAAAAAGTGGTCAATTTATTTAAGTTTCAACCAGTTTTGAAAACATTTGGATATTTTAATGTTCATCAGATTTATTATGAGTGTGACAATTCTAGGAGTAATTCCTGAAAAGTGGTCAATTACAAACTGGTGGGTTTGGTTCTTTTTGTTTAAAATGTTTTTTTATAACTTTTATTACCAAATTTTTACTTCTTTCAAAAATAATTATTCACTAATAATTTTTCTTTTTTTTTTTTTCTAATGCTTTAAGAACAATTATAAAAACTACATTCAATGCTCTATCGAATGATGTAAACAGTCTATCATTTTTACATTAGGCTCAGGACGATGAGAATATTCACTCAACCCCTTTACGTGTGCAAGATTTTTTTTCTCAAACTTGAACAAATTTGAAAATGTATTTTTCATTGAAAAAAAACACAAAAAAAACAGTTTTATCAATTGGTTGACAAATATTTGAAATCAACTTTCATAAATAAAGTCAGTTGATAGAAATTATTAGGAAAGTGCATTCAATTTCCTTTCCATTGATCATTAAATGTGCAACTCTTAGGTCAATCTCTTATATTAAACTTAGGATTTAGATTAAATTTTTACAGTGGTCTTGTTTTATGTCTTGTATCTGAAAGTGCTTGGCAAAACCAAGGAAAGACCTTCCTGGAGTCAAAGAGTTTTAAGACCTCATTTCTTTTAAAATCCAAGATTCCCCCCCCCCCCCATTTCTGACATTATCACTTCTCATTTAGTGCTTTAGTATATTATTATTAAATAAAGAGAATTAAATTTTTATTGTTTTTACAAAGAATTAACAATTAAAAACATGCCAAGAAAAAATAATTTTATGTCATTGGTTCCTAAAAGCCTCACAGGGAAACACAAATATCTTTATTAGTCACAACACCACGCAAACTGCACTAAGCGCTTACATAGGCTGTGGCAAGGTGTCCATCTTTGCTGTAGGACATGATGGTCACCGGGCTGCCATTGAGTGATATATTGCAAGCCTTGCCGGGATTGGTGAAGAAGCAGAGGGAGTAGACGGCCAGCTCAAATTCTGGACTGACCCCGATGAAGAAACTGCCAAGGGTTTTCACATGGCTGTTCCAAGAAAAAGCTGCTCCAATAATGCTGGGCTGTTGGTCAAAAGTGAGCAAAGTGGGTAAAAATAAATTTTTTTAGGTAAGTTTCAACAGTACAACTGCTAAACCAGACAATGAAGTGACAAATTTCTTCATAAATACAATACACTCTTAGTTTCCAATAATAATAGCATTTTAGAAACACCCAAAAGGATAGTACAGATAATGAATTATAACGGAATTGTTGTGCTGTTTTCTAAGAATTAAAAAGATAATGATAATACCATAACCTGCATGTTGTGATTTCGATGCAACCAAAATAATCAAAATGTACAAAAAAAGCCTTCACAGGCTATATACTATTTCATGATACTGTAAGATAAGCTGAAATGGCAAAGATTTCAATTCTAAGCTGGGTTGAACTCCTCCAGCCATTTCATGTCAATAACAAAAAATACTTAAGAGAAATACAGGGGGGGACTGCGTTCAGGTTGCAGTAACAAGAAATAAAAACTGGTTGGGGGGAAATGTGAAGAAGGAAATCTAAACAAGTGGGAGTTTCGGCTAAGAATAATAAAAATGTCTCAGTATTTTTGCTGTCAAGGGCTTCTTAGCAGTAATGTCCACTTTTTTATACTGTTCTTTTTCAGGTTTTCCCCTACTCTGTGTAAAATCTAAGAAATAAACATAATTGCTTTTTTTTTTAAATTACAGTGCCGGCACATTAATATACACCAAAGGGATTTCATATTATTTTATAAAAGCAGTTTATTTTTTTTTTAAACTTACAGAAGGCAGCCAATGTATCTGGAAATACTGTTATCATCACTATAACTATAATGTATGTTAATAAATGGCAAGTAATTTATGTAAAAAGGTTTTTCCAGATTAACCCAGATTTTTGCAACCAACACAAACGTCAGATTGCAATGTCACTACTCACATTAGCTCTGGAGACATAACCAAAATAGTTGAGACTCCCGGATTTCTCCTTCTCGTAAAACGACACCCAGTTGTGGAAGCCATTGACACTGTTTGAGTCCTTGTACTCTCCGACAATGATGTGCTCAAAACCACACGTGTCCAGAGTGGTGCTTGTGCCGCTGCGGGCGTACAATTCAAACCAATGTTTCTTCAGGGCGGACCTCAGGGCAGCTTGGCTTGTGACAAGCCCTGGTAATGAAAGAGCAAAGAAGATAAGCCTTAAGAAAGGAAAATGAAAAAGATATGTGCTACTTGGAACGTGCTGCTTGGAACTTAGAACACTTTCAGTTTTAAAAATGCTGAGCTGAAGTCCCACCAATTTCTTTTCTCAAAGGGCATAAGTGAGGTTTCATCAGATTATTATTTTACATTCATGAAGTGAATTTATCCCAATTCCTACAGATAATATTGATCTTGTTTCTAAACCACAAAAACTGAGATAATCTCAAACATTCTTTTAGTTTACTTCAAAACTTTTTTTAAAATCTTGGTTGGCCAGTAGTAACTTATGGATCATGCGTCATGGGTAAGATATTGGACAGACCTTCTGGGCTGTCACCTAAATAAATAATTCCCATAATTTCCCTTTCATTGGATGAAATGGGAGAACTGTAACTCTATTTCAAAGAATTGGGGAAAAAGTAAAACCATGATCACCTACCCTTGCAAGTCAAAAATTTCAGCAAGCTGTCCATAACTTTGGTGGCCAGGACAGCATCCAAAAATGCTGTTTCCTCTTGCGTCTCAGTAGCAGTGACTGACTCCCTGATACCTTTACCCGGCTCATAGTTGTTCAGTAGAGCAATAAGCGATTTGTAGGTGCCAGCATTGAGCTTGGCTTCATTCACATATGTAAAAAACCTGCAAAGAACATTGAAGGGCCTAATTATAGCTGTGTCCTTGATTATTTATGTATTAAAAAATTATTTAAAAGAAAATCTATTTAAACAAATTAAAGGTTAAGGAGACTAAAATAAAAAAGTACATTTTCAATTTCTTGTTTGATATTAAAACACTACACATTTACAGCTCTATCAGAGGGTAAAGTCCATCTAACACTGTGGACCCAAGCTTAATCTTATTCAGTAAAGTCCTAAATCCAGCAATGGATAAAAAGATTTTGTGCATTTATATCATAAATAAATAACATATCGAGACTACTAGCAAAGGGAATCTAAACGATATGTTTTTTCGGTCTATTTATCTATTAAATTCTGCTAAGTCAATAAAATGAATAGAACTAAATACTAACCTCCTTGAAATTTATTCCTCAGAATTAGCTACTCATATCTCTAAATGTTAATCAAATAAGTCTGAGAGATATTCCTACTTTCTTTAGCTATGTCCCTTTTTCATTTTGAGTTTATTTATATGAGTCTTGTTCTGTTCATTGAAGAGGGCAATTTTTGTTTTTTTCTTGGGTCTTTTCCATGCCATGTACAATATATTTCCTAAATCATTTACAACCAAGTGAATGAGGGTGTGGGATAAAATGATAGTCCTTAACTTACTTCTGAGTGGACCTGTCAGCTGTGGTGCCATCAGGAACCTGAGTTTGGTAGTTGACCGTGATGTCGGAGCCAGATAATCTGTTTACATCGTTGGTCCAGAGCTCGGCAGAAATGCTGGTTAGGGTAGCGCAAGTGCCTCCTGTGGTAGGCACCACACAGAAGCAGAAGGAAAGAATAGATAAAATTTAAGTTGATAACCTGTTTATGTATTTTTTTAATTTCTTTTTTCATAAAGAGTGTTATAAAAGAAAAATTATATTTTACATTTAAAATAAAAATTTTAGATTTTGTCTGAAGAGAAAAAAATATTTAAATTACATAAGTTTTAACATTTGTAGAACAACTTGTCTGAGAATTTGTATTATGCCACAACAATTCACTTAACTAAATTTAATTATTTGCGTAATTGATCTGTCAACCAGTGAATAGGTAGTCCCATAAAATGTAAAAACTGAAAATTAATATTCTGTATGGAAACTATAATTACTTTAGAACATTTGAACATTTAAATTTCTACAACATATTTCTTTTTTTTACTTGTTGGGAAAACATAGGATGATGGCCGTTATGCTGAGATAAGAAAATATGACAAGTATAGATTGTGAAATTATTCCCACCCACCTGAAGCACACACAGTGTTGTAGTCAGAACAGCAGTCGTTGAACCTAGTACAAGCCGAGTTACACTGACATGGTTTGGTTGAATCTACGGCAGCACCACAACGTCCTTGGCATGATGTGTCAGACAAAGCTTCAAAATAATTTAACAAAGTTCAAGAAAATTACAAGTAGCTAGGTCATACATTTAATAAAAGACACAAAAATTGCACATCCTTTAATGCAACATACACTTTATTTCTGCAAATTTCATTTTGTTGTTAATATATATATATATTATATATGATTTCAATTTACCAGATGGGGGAATACTTAAAATAGACATTGTTTGTAGCTTTGTTTTCTGTAAAAAGGGTGAAATGGAGGAGGTGGAAGTTTGTCACGTTGGCCATGTATTATGATCAGAAGAAAATTTCAATGTTAATGCTAGACATTTTAATCAATAAATTTGGACTGCCACTGCCTGTCCTTTTTTTCTATATCCTGAATATGTTACTATTATTTTTCGGAAAAAGAATCAATTAAATCAATAGATCGGCATGACGAGAAAATTATTTTTCTCAGTAGGCATTACAAAGTTACAATAAATAACTATATTAAACTAGTCCAAGCTTTACCTAGGCCTACACATGACATGTCTGTGTATTTCTTCAAGCAAGAATAAATTTACAACTACAAGAAAAATTTAAATAGATGTGCAAGAACTTACACATTTACACATTTATATTTTGCTAAATAATTTTCTGGGAGGATATTGCCCATGCCATATCATACAATAATCAAATTTGTTTGTAGTGACAAATATGACTTAAACTTAAATATTTTCTTATTAATATATTTACTTATACTATAAAATAAGTATAAGTCTAAATGACTATAAGTAGGGCCTATAATATAAGCTATTAGTATAAGTAAAAAAGTATATCATATATTATATATCAATTTAAATAATGTAAAATATAATAATTAATATGAAAATGATATTTTAATTAAATTTAGACTATTATAAATTATAATATATTATAATATATATAATTCATATACCTTTTAATTTTAATTCAGGTCTCTTTGAATTAAAGAGCCAAATGTTAGGCCAAAAGTTGAAAATTATTATCATTGCTACAATAAAAACGAATTGACATCGGCATTGGACAATTTTATTGGGTAACCTGTTTAGTGTTTCCATGGCAATGGGGCTGGGACATTACACCTATGATTACACGTGCCCACTTTCATTTAAAACACTATTTCTGTTCAACATCCCATTAACAGTTTTATTCAATTAGGCCCACATAATTGTTTTCATGTTCATTCTACTTTAATTTAGATCAGATACCTCGTTAGTTCATGGCCCATTAAATTATTAAACTCGAACAAACCAACTAAGCCAAGGCCAAGGCCTAAGCCTAAGCAGGCTGCAGGTGTTCGACTTTGACCGAAAGCTTACAATATAAAAAAAAAAGTCAGACTCGCTACGAGTCGCTGGAGTTGGGCCTACCCTTCCTTCACTCCTCGAGTCTTCCTGGCTACAGAGTGTGCAGTTTTAAAACTATGAATCCCTAACATTTTATGACAAAAAATTTGGCTTTTTTTTTCTTTCTAAAATGTAAAAATGCGAAATGAGGCCTTGTTTGGGTAACTCCATTTACCGCAATATTAAATCCAGCTAATAACACAGTGAAGTGAAAATAACCTAGTGTTTTTGTTAGCCAAGCTATCAACAAATTTTTAAAAAAATATATTTGCTCCTGAAGTAAATATCATACCCAAAATAAGTACAAACAGTGCTCCATGGCGACATTCAAAACAATTAATTAAACAGCTAATCACTTTAGTAACATTTCTTTTTAAAAGAAACATTTTGTTTGCTAAAAACTCAATTTTTATCATTTAAAAAAAAAAAAATCTTATTAAAAATTAAACAGTTTACACTTATAAATGTAACCATATAAAATTCATTTAGACGTTATGATATGACCGATGCTTCATAAACAAAATTGTTAATATAATGTTAATTCTAACAAAACAAAAATAATACAATTGCCACGTTCAAAAGCGGATGAATTTTTCACTTACGCCAATGATGTCAGAAGCAATTTTTCCCATTCTCAAAATCAAACGTTTCCTTCTAACCCATCATCATAATGTCTTAAAACAAATCTAATAAATGTAATTAAAAACAACCCATAAAAACAGCGTTTTTTGTATAAATCCTGTATAAAAAATAATGTCGAGCAACTGGGGGAGGGGCTTATAATTTGACAAAATATTTATACAAGTAACGCTATTTATAAGAATCCAACACGTTTTTACACCGCAGATTTATTTTACCAACTATTTCAGAAAAAAACAAAAGAAATTATTAAGCACCAAACGCACTTGCGATGTATATTATTTTGAGAATCACGTTGAGCGCTGTTGTCGGTAATTTTTCTTCAAGTTCCCCTTGAAAATTGGGTAAAAAATATTTTTTGTGTGTTGGGGATGGGGCTGAAAATGTGTTGTCATTGGCAACGAATCCATGTCCCCAGTTAGTTTCAGCTTGATAGGTTAACGGGAAGTGGGTCAATTAACCGTCCAAAGATATTGCAACCCATACAGCCACAGACAAAAGTGAAATTAATATAAAGGATTTAAAAGCTCTGTTAAATATAATAACACCAACGTTCCATGTGCAACAGACAGGCCTAAAATCGCTTTTGTTCATTATTAAATGTGTCCTATTTTTAAACAAAACATTTATACTTTTAACAACTTTTTTTTTTGTTCGTTAGGAGATTTATTTCATTTTTTTTAAAAATATAGCAAAGATTTAAAAATAAATTGTAACTTAAGTTCATTTACTTTAAATTTATAGTACGTGCGATTTTTTAATTCAAATTCTTTCTTTAAAAAATATATGTTAAAAAACATATGTTTCGTCCCATCATTTCTTCACTGCATAACGTCCACGTCGGATAGCTACGTCCTTATCAACACAACAGCTGTACTGACTTTACAACAGCTGTACTGACTTTACAACAGCTGTACTGACTTTTCAACCTAATGACACGAGACGTGTTTTGTTGTTTAAAAAAAAAATGAAAGAAAAGATTTTCACTTTTTTATTTAAAAAAACGTATTTTCCCTTACAATACCATTCGAAGGCATAATCGTTTACTGCATCCACTTTATTACATGTTACAATTTGATTTCCAAATCTCTATTCCTGTTTGTTTGTTCGTTTGTTTTTTTGTTTTATTATATTTGTTGTTTTTTTCCTGGTGCTGAATGTAGCTTATTAATAAAGATGGCGACGGTAAAAGGATCGTTGACAATTTTTAAAAAAAAAGGAAAATATAATTTCTTAGAACAGGCCTGCACAACTCAAAACGTAAGGTGGGCGTAATACTATATGAAAAGCTTGTGCGGGCCGAATGATGATAAGACAGGGGAAAGGTATTAATAAAATAATAATAATAAAGAATATTTTTTTACTTCGCGGGCTGCCAAGTGGGTGCTGGCGGGCCACATGTGGCCCGCGGGCCGTATGTTGTGCAGGCCGTCTTAGAACATGAAATAACGTTAGAGTGAAACTAGAACACCCGCTATTCTTGAAGCTCAGTTCGTTGGTCAATTTTAGTACATGGAGCAATTATTTCTTAGGAACCCGGAACACCCCCACCCCCCACACACACAGTGGCGTAGCGAGGGTGTTTAGCACCCGGGGACAAGATTTGCGCCCGGGGACAAGATCCATTTTAAAGCGCCAATTTTTCTTCTTTTTTTTTCAACTCTCAAACCCATTATTTTCATCAATAAAATAATATCAAAGCACATTTTGGCGCCCCTAAGTAGCTGGCGCCCGGGGACATCTGCCCCCCTGCCCCAACCACGCTACACCTCTGCACACACACAAAATGCAAAGTTTAGGCTGGTTTTTTAAAGATATATAATTATTTATTTTTTTTAACTCAAATTCAATCATTCTATTTTCTTATCTGCATTTTTAAGATATCGTGCTGCACTTTTTCGATAAGGAAACCTTTTTTTTTTAAAAAATAATAGTAAATATCTCTTACTTTAGGGAATGCTTGATCATGTCACAAACGCACTTTAAAAAAAAATAATAATATATTTTTTTTTTCAATTTTCAGGGAAAAAAAATTAAAAAAATTAAATAGGTGAAAAAAAATAAAGATAATGAAAAGAATGAAATAACGACTGAAGTGGTCACTAATGGTGTCTGAACTTTCAATAATTTGATTACTGACATTTGATTTACGGTAAGATGCTTTTCATTGGTCAAAATTAATGTTTATGTCTTTCCCTGAAATTTAGAATATATTCTTCATTTTTTTTTAAACCTGGAAGAAACAAATATGACTGTTTTTTTGTTGTTGTTTTTGTTTTTGTTGTTGTTTCTTTATCTTTTAAATCTAAATCACTAATAAAATCCATGGATTTGGATCGTAGCTCTGGAGCAGGGTCTTTTTGCTGGGGGCTGGAGCGGAGCTGAAGCAGGTGAAATTTCTTACTGTTCCAAGCTACAAAAATTATAATTAGTTAATTAATAATAACCTCTCCCCTATCTCTATAAATACACACACACACACACACACAGGCACACACACACATATATATATAAATATATATATATATATATTTAAAAACATAATTTATTAATATATATTATATATATTTAAAAACATAATTTATTAATATATATTATATATATTTAAAAACATAATTTATTAAAATTGACGCCCCCCTCTTCAACCAGCTTTGTTGCCTCCCTCTCTCTTCTATCAGATATAGTTTTAAAGAACGATCTGTAGTTTAGTATGAACATATTTAGTTTAGGAGCCAGTGGCGTCGGACGCCCATAGTTTGTTGGGTTTTTTTTGGGGGGGTGGGGGGTTTATGTGTGGGTAGGGTGAGGTAGAAGTCTTGTCCCGCCCCGGCGGCACCGAAACTGAGTACGCCGCTGTTTGAAGCACGATGCAGAATTTCAGCGTGGAACAATCAGTGCTCTGTTATTTGCTCGACGCTAAGAGTTCTGCATTTGGGAAGGGGCGGTTGCAAATGGTGAACGGAGTTATTTGGGGAAATATGACGAGGAGAATTTTAATATTACATAAACATGGGGGATAGAGCAAAGCTTTATTTATTGATTTTTTTTTAGGATCGCTTTGATGAAAAAACCAAACAGTGTGTGTCTGTGTGTGTGTGTGTGTGTGTGTGTGTGTGTGTGCAAACGTCTGTTTTCGAATAAATCATTTGCTTAAAGCTAACTGGGTTGGTGTGTATTCATAGTCGGGAATAAGCAAAACTCGAACAACGACTAACGGATGAACATCAAAAGATGTCTTGATGAACTCGCGTTCGATGTCTGACATTACATGTGTCCCACATTCATACACATGTGTCCTACATTCATACACATGTGTCCTACATTCATTCAAGAGACTAGATACTGTTTAGGAGAAGAGTAAACATGAGAGTTTGATCCTTAGAACATCTGGATCATAATTTTTTAATTTTTTTTTTTGCGTGAGTGGGGTGTGTGTGTGTGGGGGGGGGGGGGGGGGGGGGCTATGTTGAAAACATTGTGACTTGCGTCAGTAAATCAGTGTTCTAGTCTCAACTAGTATTAACAGTCGATGATTCAGAATTATGTTTTCAAATAATTTTTTCGGATAGTGTCAGTAATTTAGAATAATGGTTTTCAAATAATTGTTTTGGATAGCGTCAGTAATTAAGAATCATGGTTTTCAAATAATTGTTTGGCTAACTTCATTGATTCAGAGTTATTATACTTTTATTGTTATTTTAAAAAATTTCTTTAAAAATTGAATTTTGCAGTGAAAAGACAAGAGAAATGTTGCAAATAAAGAAATTTTAAGTCAGAGAATTAAAAATCGTTTTCCTTAACCTATTTAATATCAATTTTGGAATCACGCGTTAAGATAGGATGCTACTTTTATACCTTCATTTTGAATTCAAACACAGCGGTATGAAAATTTGTTAGTTGGGCCTTACATTCAAATAATCTAAAGAACATTCGTTTTTTTTTTCTAAAAATATGAACTTCAACTACTGAGGTACTCACGTGTTGCCACCAGAAAAGCCTGTGCAATGGCGCACGTCATGCACAGTACTATAATCACAATTCTTCGCTGATTCAACCTTTCCATTTCTATTTATAGCCTGATGCTTGCACGCGGACTGTACACCAAGTCACAACGAGAGATGTATATATAGACCTATAACTGCAAGTGGTACTCAAGGCTGGACACGGTTTTTTTTCCCAGGCTATGAAGTGAAGTAATCGACTTCAGCTCGGTGGCCATACACAGGACCGTGGTTTATATAAGCCTGGCTTTACTTCAAGGGTTCTCACTTACCGGATCTGACACCAGAAAAAATCATGGCGTTACTCAGTTTTAAATGGTTCGTTGATTTCAACAATTTAAAAAAAAATATATTTTTTTTTTAATAACTGAGGAATAACATTTAACAGAGATTTCTCTCTATATATAATATTAAAAAATAAACTGAAGAAATAATTGTGGGTAGTATTATGAAATCATAAAGATATGAGAACTTTTGATCCACATACTGTCAAGGTTTCTTAAAACCTGTATGTGGCGCTAATTCGTTTAAGTTGTTGTGTCTTACACATATGTGTTGTGACACACTTTTTTTTTAACAGACG